AACTAGCAACTTTACTCTGGATGGAAATTTAGAACTACAACACAGCAAATGAGATCACTCATTCTGGCAGGAATGGCCCATTAGAAATCATGGTCAATTTCACATGCTAGAATTTGGCCATGTTTTTACTATAAAGCTGTCCCCTTCAGTACCATGCCATAGGACAGCCATGGTGAATGCCTTCCTACAACCTTCTGAATACCTGAGGCCACTGAATAGGCCCCATCTAGATATGTTTCACACAAAGAAAACAGTATCCACAGTGAGTTTTCATTATGACTGCAGCCTTTTTGAAGGTAGGTAGTGGGGAGAAAGGAGATGCTTTATTAGCAAGAGTTGAAGATCCATTTAAAATGTCCCAGAGGTCAGGAGTCATATTTGTTCAATTCACTTTAACAATCCCCTACACATACTGTGTTTAGAGCACATTTCAAGGAAATCTTACTGGTCAACTGGGCAAAACCTCAAGATCCTTTCAGGACTTTCATCTCTCGTCCTCATGAATCTACAGAGCAGCCAACACCCAAAGGAAGGTGCCAACACCCTCAGGAATGTTTGAGAGATCTGCCTCTAAGTCCAGGCTCAGGGACTAAACAATGAGGTCAATCAAGGCCAGACCTCAGGACCCACCCAGGCCCAGGGCCCCAGTCCATTTTCCTTCCATGTCTCAGTAGGGTAGTTCACAGGGCAATGCACCAGTGTTCTTCAAGATGTCATCAATATTACAACCAAGAAATCCTCTTTACATGTAATAAAACCCCTAAATAAAAGGAAACCCCATTGCGTCTTTTGTTCCCTGGATACAGAAAAACTAGCTAGCACATATCCGCAAAAATGCCTCTTTGGAACCAACAGGACTTGAGTTAAATTTATGTAGCTTATGCCAGGCACAGTGGCTCAAGTCTGTAATCCCAGCACTTTGGGAGGCAGAGGCGAGAGGTTTGCCTGAGCCCAGACCGCATTTCTACAATAAATAAAAAAATTAGCCAGGTGTGGTAGTGTGCATCTGTAGTTCCAGTTACTTGGAAGGCTGAAGTGGAAGGATTGCACGAGCCCAGTAAGTCGAGACTGTGGTGGCCATGAGCATGCTACTGCACTCTAGCCTGGGCAACAGAGTGAGCCTCCAACTGGGAAAAAAAAAAAAGTATGTAGCTTAATCTCTGCCTCATAAATTTGTGTTTCTGTTGCTCTACTTTTGCAGTTTTTCTCTGGATCCTTTCTTCCTTTGTTGTCTCTGTTTTTTAAGTACAAAGCCCAAATCTAAACTCTGTGAGAAAGACACAACACCCAGGGCAGTTTCTATGTGTCCCACACTGAACTCTACACATTTGCCCTCCCTCAGTCACCAGGAGGGCAAATGTGATCCCCCACCACATGACCAAGGCCAGATGGTCTTATAGAGACAAGGCAACACTGCTTGAAGCTTTCTACAACTTATCTTAGCATTACTTCATCAATTTTTCAACTAAACCCTAAGAACAATTCAGATTTCTAGTGTCAGAGGCAAGGCTTCCCTGGGCAGACTTCTGTACCATCATCTTTCTCTGACACGCCCTGGAGCCAAGGTGTCATGGTGTCATCCAGTGGGTTGTCCTCTCTCAGAACATCGTTGCTGTCACTCTGAGCCACTATTTGCTGCCTCTCTGTCCCACGATGTCTGAATCTGCCAAACTAGACATCTGATCTGCTCCAACCTCTTCCCACTTCTGCAGTCTAAAGGGCATTTCAAGGGCCTCTTACTCTCCTCCTGTCTTTGACAAGTTGTTCCATTGCTGAGCTCACTGGCAAGACTCTATCACTACTTTATCAAGTGACCCTTGGGGCTGTGGTCCTCCCTGTTCTGACCCGATACTCCCACTCCTCCTGCTCTTCAGTGAACAAAAGAAACATATGAAGCAGACGAGACCGCAGAGGACAGAAGGTGACTTCAACATTTTCTCTTTTCTTCTAGCCCCAGATGAAAGCACAATTGAATGAAAGCTGGGACCTTCATACTGGGGAGATCTTAAAATGCCATGAGAACAGAGAAGTTCTAATCTGCTGCAAGTCACAAACTCAAATCTCGCTGCTGTTGTCATTACAGAGTAACGCATGATCTCTGTAAAACATTCAGAAAGAACCATCTTAACAGAAAAAAATAAAACGACCCTAATCCTATCATCCAAAGGCAGTATAAAACAGTTTTCAGACTTCATCTCTACCATAAATCAAGAAAAAATAGCCAGGCATGATGGCGCATGCCTGTGGTTCCATCTACTTGGAGGGCTGAGGTGGAAGGATCGCCTGAGCCCAGCAGGTCGAGGCTGCAGTGGCCATGAGTGTGCCATTGCACTCCCACCTGGGTGACAGAGTGAGACTCCAACTCAAAAACAAAGTTTTCAAAGTGGTGAGTCCAGCCGTATTTGGTGGACATTACCTTTGTGAAGAAAATATTAGATGGACCATCTAAGTGTGAAAACATGAGCCAATAAGAGGGCCAGAAGAAGGGAGGGTGAAATGTTCTGTGTAAGAAAACTGGAGAAATCCAAGGCATTTGGTCTAAGAAGAAAAGAGCAAGAGACCAGACAACAGGACAGGAAGCTAGAGCACATGGCACGAGCCCCATCGAGGTTTTGCTTTCCAGAGTAAGACTGTTTCAGATGCAGTTTTACCTTGTTTACACATAGGCGTGTAACTCCCCAACTTCTACATGTACCAAGACCTCATGCAGAGGTGTCTGGTAATCAAGGAAAAGAACCGAGTCAGCGTGAGATGAAAAGATGGTTCACACGTGACTCAATCCAGCAGGGCAGAGACTCTGAGAGCCGACATTGGGATAGTGAGCAGCATCCCCTCGGGAATGCAGGGACAGCCTGGGGAGCCCAGATATTCAGGAGAGCATGAACACTGGAGGAAGCACAGATGCTCTGGGGAGCAGACACTGTGGGTAGTAGCATGGATGCGTGGGGAAGCATGACTCCAGACCTGCGGAACCTGGCCACAGGGAAATTAATACAGACGATGGTTCTTAAAATTTATTTAATAGTAATTTTTTTAAAAATCCATAGTTGAATATAGACTATATATGCAATTATATGTTATTTTAGCCATTAAAATCATTTGTCCTGTTCTTTCAAATTCTTTACAAACATTGCAGTGATTTCCCCAGAGGTCAACAGAAATTTCCTCACCATTACTCTATCACATATTAACTTATTTTTAATTTTTCTTTTTTTTTTTTTGAGTTGGAGTCTCATTAGTGGCCGCTCCCGGCCACCGCAGCCTCAACCTGCTGGGCTCCGGCGATCCTTCCACCTCAGCATTCCGAGTAGCCGGAATTACAGGCGTGCGCTACCATGCCAGGCTGATTTTTTGATTTATTGTAGAGATGAGGTCTTGCTGCCCAAGCAGGTCTCGAACCTGCAAGCTCAGGCAATCCACTCACCTCAGCCTCCCAAAGGCACAGGATTATAGGCTGAGCCACCTAATAGAAATAAGCCCAGCTTATTTCTAATTTTTCATCAAAAAAACAACCTGAAACTTCTTTGTACTTAAATCTTTCTAAGACATACCTAGAAGTGAAATTTAGGAGTCAAAGGCGTAAGCATTTTTAAAGTTCTTGACATAAAATACAAAATTAAGCTATTAAGAAAGCACTAATTTATACTTTCCAAAATACGGAATATCAGTGGCTCACACTTGTAATCAATCCCAGCACTTTGGGAGGTCAAGGCAGGAGAATCACTTGAGCCCAGGAGCTTCAGACCAGTCTATGAAAAATAGCAAACCTTGTCTCTACAAAAAAAATAAAAAAATTAGCAAGGTGTGGTGGCGCATGCCTATAATCCTAGCTACTCAGAAGGCTGAGAAGGGTAGATCCCTTCAGCCCAGGAGCCTGAGGCTGTGGCTGAGCCATGATCAGGCCACTCTACTCTAGTCTGAGAAACAAAGTGAGACCCCGACTCCAAAAGAAAAAAAACTGCATATCTACATTTTTTTAAGTTATTAATTTTGTTCCCAAAAGAAATCTCACTAATTTGTTTGATTACAAATGACTTAAATTTTTAGAAAAGTATATTTGTTATTTGTATGCCCACTTCTGAGTCTCTACTCTTGGCCTTTTCCTGCTTATTGACCACATGTTCTTCTTTAGACTTTCTTATCAACTTTTACAAATTATTTTCATTTAAAGTTATTAATCTTTAAAGTATACTTGCCAATTTTATGTACGTTTACCTTCATTTTGTTCATATCACTCTCTGCTGTGCCATTTTACATTTTATGAACTCTTATTCATCATGAATTAATTAACTCATTAAGTGCCATAGCAATTAAACAGCAACAACCTGTCAACCTTAATTTTTAAGTATAACTATTAGAAAGATGATTTTCTTCCTTCCTTCCTTCCTTCCTTCCTCCCTCCCTCCCTTTCTTTCTTCCTCGCTCTCTTTCTTTCTTTTTTTTGAATTGGGGTCTCACTCTGTCACCCAGGCTGGAGTGCAGTGGAGCAATCACAACTCACTGCAGCTTCAACCTCCCAAGTTGAGTTCAGGCAATTGTTCCACCTCAGCCTCCTGAATAGCTTTTGTGTGCCCCTACACCCAGCTAACTTTTTTATATTTTTTTCTGTAGAGACGAGGTCTTACTATGTTGCTCAAGATTGTTCTCGAACTCTGGGGCTCAAGTAATCCTCCTGCCTCAGCCTCTCAAAGTGTTGGGATTATAGGCATGAGTCACTGTGCCTGGACCAGAAAAATGACTTTCAAGAACCATACTAGCTGGGCATGTGGCACACATCTGTAGTCCCAGTTTCTCGGGAGGCTGAGGTGGAAGGATCATCTGAACCCAGGAAGTCAAGGCTGCAGTAAGTTGTGATCCATGATTTTTAAAAAACACACACACTGAAATGTAAGATCATTTAATTAGTCAACTAACATATATATAATATATATAAACAAAAAATATATATGTATATACATATAAACTATATATATGAACAAAATGAAAAGAGAATTACTTACCGAGTCCAAAAAGCAAAGGTAAGACCCTGAGCTCTGTGCTATTGCTTGATTTTTAGAATACCCAACTGTTGAAAAAGAAAAGAAATGCTCTTTTATAATTCAATGTTAATGGCACTCTCTCTCATAAAGCTTAATATACCATATACTATAAAAAGCTAGGAACATTTTGCACTACCACCAACAATTTGCATAAGCTTTCAAAGGAATAAGAGGAAAGTCAAAGAGAGATAATGTCCCATACTTAGTAACTGATGTCATAAGTATGATGATAAACACAATCCACCCAGCACCATGTTAATGTAGTATATGCTCATTAGAGAAAAACAAATTAGGTGAACACTTAGTGAGTATAGAACAAAGCTAAGTCCCAGGAATATTTTGTTTAAAACAAAATTAAAATGTCCCTGAAAGGAAGCCTGTCCGGTCTGTGCTGATGAAGGTCAGGATCTGGTTATAAGGGGAAGCTGAGAGCCTGCATGTGATCGGTGGGTAAAACTCACCGAACCGGACACTTGTGGGTGGTTATCTACACATATATGTCTGTAAAAAGCTACAGTCACTGCCAGCATCACCATATCCAGGCAGCATATATCCCATGTCCCAGCTCTGGTCATAAAAGACATTATACTGTGCAGACCCAACAGAACTTCATTGTGTGGTCACCAAGAGCAGCACTTGAAATCAGAACTACACAAGTACAGATGGAAAAGCTGGAAACATAACAGTGAGAAGGCACTCTCTGGGGTTGTGAGGGTTCCTCTCATATAACCTGAGTGGAAAAAGGAGTAGGTGCCTTGAGAACACTGGCATGGACCACAAAAGTGACCAAAATTCTTCTGCTTGAAACTAGGCAAAGGGTTGCCTTTGGAGAGGAGGGAATAATGGGGGGACCCAAGCGAGCTTCAGAGCTGTGATGTTCTGTTCTTCCTCGGGGGGCTGGTTGCATACTGCATTCCGTCTGTGAACATTAACCCAACTGCATGATTATAAGTGTGCTTTTCTCTATGGAGATTATATTTTAATAAAAGCTTCAGAAAATCCTCACTTTCAAACATATTGCAACTCAACTGGAAAAAGAGTTAAATGATAGCCTATAGCTAAATACCAAAGGAAGGTGCTGAAAAAAGTACTCAGGAGGCTTAAAAGACAAAGTCACTACTAAGGGAGGTACAGAGGGAACATGAGAATGTTAGAAAGTAAACAAACAGAAATGAGCAGGGCAGACCACTGAATAGGGGCACCAAGGACAGTGCACAGTATGGCAGAGGCACTCAGTTACTCCGGGGTCCCCAGTTATTCAGAGGGCACCTGGCTATTTATAGGTCCCTAGTTACTCAGGAAGCCCCAGGTACTCAGGGGACACCCAGTTAATCAGGAGGCACCCAGTTATTCAAGGGGAGCCCATTTACTCATGGGCATCTGGTTACTCAGGGCACACCATGTGCTTGGGTGACTAGGCCTGAACCAGCTTCTGTAGGAACTGCCTGTCAAGCTAGAAGGCTTATCTTCACCCTGTTGGCAGGAGTGGCCAAGTAAGGTTTCTGAATTAGGAGTAACATGTAGAAATTAACCCTTGGCAAGCTGAGCCTGGATGCTGTAGTAGGGTAGAGCAGAGGAGGCATTGAGCCCAAAACAAGATGAGGAGGCTTCAAGGGGTAGGATACCCACTTTCCCTAGAAGAGAAATTGCCAACACCTGAATTGTGTTATCCAGATGGTTTCAGATGTAATGCTACCGAGAAAAGTCACACAAAGCAAAACAGATGTGTGCAAAGTTAAAACAATAAATCTGTCTGGTGTTCAAAGTCAAGACAAGATGCAGAAAGTTATCCATCCAAGGGACACTGGCCAGGTGTGTTCCTCAGCCACACCCGTGGCACTCCCTGGTTCTCTGCTACAAGGAGGAGAGAACAGGGGGCTCTCATCTACCAGAGTCTGTCCAGCTCCTGGGTGGCACTGAAGCAGGCCCACAGTACCACTGGGGTCAATGCTGCAATAAAGAAGTGCAACACGAATTCTCCCACCCCCATTCACATCCCCCAAGTGTCTGACTCAGGAGCAGTGCCCTTCTGCGGGGGTAGGGGGCTTCATACAAGGTAGAAGTTTAATTTCAAGCATTAACCCCTACAGCTCAGTCAGTCCAAATCAGTTAGCAGAATGATTCTGATTTCAAAGAACCACAGGTATAAACAAGAGCAGAGGAGGAAGTGCACCTAGGGGAGGCACCCAGCCTGGCTCCCCGCCCCAGGACAGATGGATTAGCTGCCATCACCAAAGCAGCTGTAGCTAAACCTCCATCATCACTGCAAAGTGAGGCAGGCACAAAGAAGCACAACCAAAGAGCTGTGTGTGAAAACAAAAAATGGAAAGAGACTCCACAATCATAGTGAAATGAGCGGAGTTCTGTGCAAAAAGTTTCTTATGAGTCAGGTTTTAGACGGAGAGAAATTGAATTCATGAATCTGGGTAATGAAGGAAGACGTATCTCAGTAAGGAAGCTGGAAGTTTCTCACAATGAATCTTGTGTTTGGCAAAGACAAGGAATTTGCTTTAATATTATTGCCTTGAAGAAAGTCAAATGTTTGTGTCGGGCTCATGTTTGGGGAGGCCGGTCCCTTTGTGAGGGGAGTCGGTTGCCATGGTCACAGCAGGAAAAACTCACGCCTCAGCGAGATATTAACATTCCTTACTCTTGGAGAGAAGAGGGTGAGATTGTGCTTTATTTTGATTTTAGCAAGTGATCACATTATTAAGAAATGTTTTATTCTATTGTGATATGAAGTCATAATAAATGAATCTTCATCTATTCCTAGCACTCCTGAAAATAAACACTGGATCTGTGTTATCTAATAGTCAATACAACTTGTCCTATTTAAGAAAGTACCATTAGAGGAAAATATGTCCTTTCAGATATAACCAAACGGACTCCATTTTATTAATGCAATATAGGATCTCCATGAATTTTTTTTTTTTACCCAAACTTCAGGCAGACTCCATTTCACTGTCCTCATCTTTGTCCTTCAAAATTTTACAACTGATTGTTTTTGTACTGACAGAATTCATACAAATGGGATATAGCTCAAGTTATAGCTGATCTATAAAACGTATTTTATGAAAGACAAACGCATTTTAAAAATGAAGATTAAGCCGGGCTTGGTGGCTCAGCCTGTAATCCCTTGCTTGGGGAGGCTGAGGTGAGTGAATTGCCTGAGCCCGTGGGTTCGAGACCCGCCTGGGCAACTTGGCGAGACCTCACCTCTGCAATAAATCAAAAATTAGCTGGGTGTGGTAGCGCGCCTGTAGTTCCAGCTATTTGGAAGGCTGAGGCGGAAGGATTGCCGGAGCCCAGCAGGTGGAGGCTGCGGTGGCCGGGAGCGGCCACTGTACTCCAGCCTGGGCGACAGAGTGAGACTCCAACTCAAAAAAATAAAACAAATAAAAATGAAGATTAGACAAGGAGTGTCACAACAGTCATCAAAATGTCTTCGGTTTGCTTTCATTCATCTATGGAAGATGCAAAAAATCTTTTCAATTAAAGAATATTAAAAGATGTTTACATTCGTTTCAAAAACCAATTTGGTTACACACATTTCAGAAGCAAATTGAAACAGTTGTTCCAAAACAACTGAGTTTTCCATTTCAAACAAACTAAGGATAATGAAAAGAAGAACTAATTTTGGGGAAAGCATTAACATCTTCCAAATATGCAAGATGATGATGATGATGATGATGTCAGAACAGCTGCGGACACTTCCTGACTGCCTGATGCATGCACCTGTCCTTAAAAATACAGCATATATTAGCTCATCTCATACCTTCACAACACTCCAAGATGGGGTGTCCACTATAATAGCCCATTCACAAATAAGGACACGAAAGCCCAGGCAGGCAGCAGTGGAGCCAACCCGCAAGCCTGGCCCCACACCTGAGATCCTACTTCTCTCCCATGCCCTCAGAGCCTCAAAGTGATGTGAGAGGAAAGCAGGAACAGGTGCTGCTCATGTCCACCGACGCACGCTGTGTGTAAGATCACTGTGGCAGTGTCAAAGGAAAAGGTCTTTCAGTATGAATGTTTACAGATAACAGAGGCTTTTTTCCTTTAAAAGACCAACTTTAAAAATTATTTCTGATTCAAAATTTTTCTTAAACATTTTACACACTTTTCTTCTTTCTGCAATAGAGTACCCCAAGTCCTACTTGTCAGGAATGTGATGTGGGCAGAGTAGGGAGTGCATTCTGAGAGAGTTCTGTTTCATTCTTTGAAGCCCAACTGTGCTGTCACTCACCCCCACCAATATCCACCCTCTACTTAGCCCAGAAAAACAAAAACAAAATGAATTAAAGATTAGCAGGAAGCTGCAAAAGGCAAAGACATCCTACTCCTAGGTGCTCCCAGCCTGGGAGAACATGCATTTTAAAGCATCTTCATGAAGCAGCAAAACAGCTTCAGAAAGCCAATGTTCAGAATTTTTATAGACATTTGCAGGTGGCCCCCAAGAACCTTGAGAAGGGCATGCTAGGTTCAGATTCCCACTCTGCTCTAGACGGGTGTGCGAACTTTGAGTAGGTCAACCAATAACCTTTAGGGGATGAGGACAGCACCTGCCCCTAGGACTGCAATGAGGATCACATGAGCCCTTGGGAGGTGATACACAAACCAAGCACCAATAAGAGGCCCGCGGCCCAGATGCTGCAGCTGTTGCCATCAACCAGGCACCTCTGAGGAGTCACGACCCCTGACATGGAAGAAAACAGAAGGAAGGAGAACCAACAGAGGGCCAGCAGCTTTAAGGAAACTATGTAACCAAGAACCACAGGATTTGTCTCTCCCATTCATTCCTCCCCAGAGCGCCACCCTGTATGCACAAGTCTATTAGCTCCTATGACCCCTTCTCTACCCAATCTACCTTGAAAATACTACAGCAGTTGCTGAGAACTGGCAGTTCTGTGAGTCACATGTTGATCTGAACAGGACCCAGCTGTGAACCTAACACTCCCCAGGCTCTCATATGGGCATATTCCAGAGGGACCCCAAACATTCAGTGGTCTGCCCTCGAAATATACAA